AAAACGCTGATGTTTACTCTAAAATATGTTCTCTGAATATTTAATATCCACATGAACTGCCCCACACTTCTATGAAGGTAAGATTTGTTCTTCTGGATTTCAGAATGAGATCTTATTTACGTTCTCCGCACTTATTGTTTTATAAATATATGTCCGTGGATTCAAATGCGAAGAATAAACATTTGACCCCGACGTGATTTGAACACGCAACCTTCTGATCTGGAGTCAGACGCGCTACCGTTGCGCCACGAGGTCTGTGCTGCATTTTCTGGAATTATCCTATAGAACTTAATTCTGCTGCGCTTGTCTATTAATAGCACTGCGTGTCAGGTTCAAACCTCGTCTTTTTCAGGCTGATGTGGAAGTGAAGCTGGTGCGTTTATTGTGCTGCAGCGCTATCTAGTGATCTGCACATTAATGTTCAAACTTTGTAAATAAAATGAAGTAATATGTATTTAATAATATAATGATATTTTATGGTGAAAATGTCTACATTTTATATTAATGGCTACATTCTACATGTCATTTTGGCATTGTAAAACATTTTTTTCAATGGAATAAACATGTAATCTTGTTCTGTCAAAGATCAACCACCGTTTCAATATTTGAATGCTAGAATTCTTATAGAATAGTGTAATTATTGTTATTATTCTGTAGGCCTACTGCCAACATGTGACTGAATTTCATAATCATACTCGGAATATAATATGTGCTATTAATTTTAGTACTTAATAAGCTTGGAGAGTAAAGATGAAAATGTTGACCCCGACGTGATTTGAACACGCTACCTTCTGATCTGGAGTCAGACGCGCTACCGTTGCGCCACGACGTCCTCCGACTCACAGCGGGATTTAGAGCTTTTGATTAACCCAGCTTCTTCAGGACTTTCGGTGGAAGCGTCTTATGATGACAATTGCGATATCGATTTAAAATGCGCTAAACAAGTTTTGATGTGCTTGTTTGGACTGAAGGGCTGCAAATTTTTATTATGTAACAATATGGCATAATAATAATAACAGTAACATTAATAATAAGAATGGTTATTATTATCTATTGCGCGTGCGCGTGCGCGTGTGCGTGTGTGTGTGTGTGTAAGATGAAATGTCACACAAATATTAAAGAGAATATTGAAGTAAAAAATACAAGGTAACAAAAAAACACTAATAGAATGTCTGCATTAATTCATAAACTGCTGTCTATGAAATTAGAAAGCAAAACAAAGGAGCCAAACATTCAAACATGTTTAAAATATAATTACAACCATGAAATTATTTATCAAACACAACACATAAGTTGAAAAATGTTAAATAAATAAATAGAAACATAATTGGTCATAAATGCATAAATATCTGATTTGTATGTATATTATGATTTTAAAATGCCTATAATGTTTTATACACAAAATCATGTTTTTAATAAATTTTGACATTTTAAAACATTTTCCAATAGAAAAAAACAATGTAGCAATCACAAAACACTTCAGATAAATAATATAAGCACAGTCAGTCTTTAATATTATTGTAATGAGAAACAACATTAATCAAATTCATGATAAAATGAAGAACAAATGAACACTGACATTTACTAATTGCATGTTGATGTAATCTAAGTCAATAATGTAAATGAAATGAATAAAAATAACCACAGGTCACATGTTGCAACTCAATAGGATTGTCAGTCAGATGCACATGGTGTGTACAAGCCAACCGAACGACAGTGATGTCCATTAGACAGATACTTCAGATTGTGTCTCTTCACTCCTGCAGCGATCCCCGATACACACGCCAGATATGGGATGAGACTCTATTAATAAAATCAGCATGAGCCTGGCAATATGAGTGGAGTATCAAACTCCCGGGGACTATACAGGAATGAAGCCGCAAAAGCCAAAATAGTCGTTAAAGATCAGTTGATTAGGATGTAAAGTAAGTATCTGTGTCCAGAAAGACCAGATTCATGAGAGACTGAAGGAGTTTGCTGTGAACTGATGGAGGAATGTTTAGAAAACCTGTCTGCCAACAGTCAGTGTTTGGGCACACATCATTTCAAATAAATGTTACAAATAAAAACATATATTTTTAAAAATAATTTCATAATAATATAGTAATATAACTTAGATATTAATAATAATAAACAAATTATTTTTAATGGTTATTATTATCTATTTTTATTTAGTAATAATTAATAATAATAAAAATAATCGTATATTTTTTATTTAATAATAATAATAACATAAAATAATATATTTTCTTTGTGCAGATTTTTTCACCCTTGTCCGAGAGATTAAATATTAAACTGTAAAAATCCATAATTAAATAAATAATTAAAAAAAAACTTTTAAGAGTTAAATAGGCATATACAATAGGCTTTTTATTGTGGAAAATATTTTGTATCACATTGTAAAAAATATGATTTACATCATGACCAAGAATCTTGCAACTAACAAACTTTGTGTGTGTGCGTGTATGTGTGTGTGTGTGTGTGTGTGTGTGTGTGTGTGTGTGTGTGAAGATCAGTTGATTAGGATGTAAAGTAAGTATCTGTGTCCAGAAAGACCAGATTCATGAGAGACTGAAGGAGTTTGCTGTGAACTGATGGAGGAATGTTTAGAAAACCTGTCTGCCAACAGTCAGTGTTTGGGCACACATCATTTCAAATAAATGTTACAAATAAAAACATATATTTTTAAAAATAATTTCATAATAATATAGTAATATAACTTAGATATTAATAATAATAAACAAATTATTTTTAATTAACTAATAATTAATAAAAAAAACTAATTGAATATTATAATACATTTTTAACAAATATTTATTTTTAATAAATAATAATATTTTAAATTAAAACAATGTTTTCAAAAACACTTTTTAAATATACAGTATACTGATAAATATTATACATTGTATTATATTACTTTTAAAAAATATATATTTAATATATGAAGGGAAGCATTTATAAATAAATGATGATAAATATTAATATTATAAATTATGGTAAATATGTATATATTATATATTTAAAATAAATGTTAAAAATAAAAATATATATTTTAATAAAGTTTTAATAAATAATTAACATGTTAAATATAAATATTTGAACATTCTAATGTTTTTTTTTTTTTCATTTGCAAACACTTTTACACCAAATACATTTAAATATGATGATATATTCTTAGATTTAATATATCTCAAATAATATATTTTTAGTAATTTTAAATAAATATTTAAAAACATTTAACATATTTTAAAAAATTATGTTTGGCAAACATTTTTAAATTATATTTTAAATACACAGTATATCAACACATTATACAGTATATTATATTAATATTTATTAATAATATATACACACATACATATATCCTCCTGAGTACCAGAAAAAAGCTTTGTGGATTTAGTATTTTTTTAATGTCATTACATTATTTAGAGCATAAGAAAAAATGAAAAAATAACATTTTTGAAAAATTATATTTTATTCATATGTTATGCTATGTCCTCTGTAGAGGACACCAGGACTCAGTTTTTCTTAAAAAAAAAAAATTATAATAATAATAAAATGACATTAATAGACATGAAAAGGCAAAAAAGGGGGGATCACCAATCAATTTTTAGGATGATTCTCAACTATGTTATAAAATATCTAACAAAATTATTTGATATACCATTTTGCTTTATGCAATATGTGTATAAAAATTCCCATAAACTGGTTTTCCCATTAAACACAATGTATCTATACACTGTAATTTGAGCATGTTGCATGCTCAGCATGCTGAAAAAAAGAAGTGTAATAATGGGAGTAATACTTTGCCAGATTTTCGTAATAATATCTAATATTTCATAAGAATATTTATATATAATTTATTTTCCTATTCAATTGTTTTGTCTCCCAAAATATATAATAGACATGCTTTTAGTCCTGGTGTCCTCGGCAGTGGACATGTATGAAATTATGTCCTGTTTCATAACAGGAAGTCATATTTTAATTTGAAACCCCATAACATTTTCCTGAGACGTTGATTTATGACAAACAATTTGAAAATGAATAATATTTAAATTATACATGATTACAAAATATTATCATATTTCCATAAGGATGTACAATTTTATCACTAAATTAATGTCAACCAATGTCAAGACCAAGGAGAGGGAGTGGTCATGGTGAAACTGCCAAACACCAGGTATCTATGGAAAGCCCTGAATGTGCTCTGCACAGGACATCCAGACTTACAGCTGACACACGTGAGCTCTCAGAGAAATTCACTAACATATAACGCCCACTACAGAGACAAAAACTCCATAGCTGGGTCTGGATATATTAATATATATTTAAATATGTATAAATAAATGTAAATATTATGATATATTTATATGTATATATTTAAAATATATTTTAAAAATAAAACATTTTTAACATGTATTTTTATAAGTATTTAAAAACATTTATATATATATATATATATAAACAAATTTCAAGTAAATACTAAAATCACTGTTAAATTAAAACATTATTTTATATATTACACAGTATATTATGTTACTATTATTTAGTAAATATTTAAATATGAATGGGTATGTGTGTGTAAGCGAGTGTGTACAAATGCTTGAGCAACCACCCCACAAAATCAGCAAATAATCACAAAAAAATAACACAAACTCAGCAGATAAACATATACATTACATATACAAATAAAGAAACATTGATGTGATGTGCTCGTGAGAAAGGGTGTTGAAAGAGCGGCATCACGGCATTCTGTTTAGCTGGTGTAAGACTCTCTGTAAAATAACAACACCTTAACACGTCTGTCAGCAAACACTCGTGTCGCGTCCCTCATCTCCATCTCTCCAAACTTTCTTCTCAGACTTGGAGAATCCAGGAGGGTTTCGAGTGTCAGTGCTTCTCTCTTCTCTCCCCATGGTTTGTCTCCCTCCCTCCCTCCCGCTCTCTCCTTGCTTGGTGGGTAATTTGAGTTCCCTGAACGCTTTGAATAACCCAGGGACTGTGAAATAAAAAGCAAAAAAAGTGACGCAAGCTGTCAGTCGAAGGAAGACAAGCAAGACGCAGCCACAGCCATGCCCGAGCCCACAGAAGGTATACATCTCTCCATTTCCTTCAGCTTTTTTCAGTACTTATGCTACTTCTACTATTTATTAACTAGCAGTAGTAGTAACTAGTATGTTTAGTAGTGCCAGTATTGTTGGTGACAGTAACAGAAAGTCTACAAAGCATGACAAGACTAGAAATGATTCTAAAAGTTTGATTGTTTTGCATTATTAGATCTGCATATTGAGCTTTTGTTTATTTATCAACTGTTATTGTTTATTTGCATTGTCAGAATCACTCATCAGTGAGTTGTTTTAAACAAAACTGAGATTCGCTGATTCGTAATTGTTACTCTTTTTCTTTGATATATGACATATCATTATTTGGCTGAGATACAACTATCTGAAAATCTGGAATCTGAGGGTGCAAAAAAAAAATCTAAATATTGAGAAAATCACCTTTAAAGTTGTCCAAATGAAGTTCTTAGCAATGCATATTACTAATCAAAAATTAAGTTTTGATATATTTACAGTAGGAAATTTACTAAATATCTTCATGGAACATGATCTTTACTTAATATCCTAATGATTTTTGGCATAAAAGAAAAATTTATAATTTTGACCTATACAATGTATTGTTGGCTATTGCTACAAATATACCCCAGCGACTTAAGACTGCTTTTGTGCTCCAGGGTCATATTTGTCATTGCTTCTACGATTTATTTACAGTATTTTCATGCGCTTTCTTTAGTTTGCAAACTTTACGAGGTCTCTAAACACGTGCAAACTCCCCAAACACCTCAAAATAACATTAGAATTAATAGAAGGATGAAAGCTGAGGAGGAGGAGAGGTGTCATGAATGAGGAAGGGTCAGTGTGAAGAGAAAGAGCGGAGCAGATGTGTCAAGGCAGAAAGATAAAGTTGCACAGATGGCAAAATGAGAAGCTTCCCGAGCAAAGCTGAAATAGTATCACACACACCAGTGACGGCTTCTGCTCTGAAATAATGAATGAAGCCAACAAAACCTGTATGAGACTAAAGCTGTGCAGTTTCTCAGCACTATAGCACTATATTAATAATCTGACATGTTTTATTAGTATGCATAGCATAACCCTCATCTGCATGGCACAGATATAGATAGATAGATATATCTTAATTTTGTTATTATTATTATTATTATTTTTTTTTTACTTTTTACTTTATCAAACTTTTCACCATGCCAATAAAGTCGCTTAGATAGATAGATAGATACACTATATGGACAAAAGTATTGGGAAACCTCCTTCTAATGAACAGGTTTGACTAAAGTAATATATACCCATGAGTACAAATCTTAATGTTAAAGCATATAATGCTATTCTAGGGAATTGTGTGCTTCTAATTTTATAGCAACCGTTTGGACAGGACCCTTGTCTATTCTAGCCTCTGTGTATAAGGCAAGGTTCAAAAAGAAGTGATTGATTGAGTCAGTGTGAAAGAACTTGACTGGTCTGCAGAAAATCCCAGCTGAACACCTCTGGTGTGACTTTAAATGCAGACCTTGAGCCGGACATTTTTATTTCCATCTCTGTTGCAACAGTTTTGGAAGTGTCTAAAATGACTGTACCCATATGTACAAGTCACTGGTGTTTAGTAATGAGTTTTTGGCTCATACAATATTTTGTCAATATAGATAGATAGATAGATGGATGGATGGACGGATGGATAGATAGATAGATAGATAGATAGGTCATGTATATATGTAAAGTAACTTCATTTCATAAAAATGTGAATGTAAATAATGTCGACTGTCTGTCTGCAGTCTAAACTATCCATTAACAGTTCACTATAAAGCTAAATTGGCGCTCATAAAATTTTATGCTCTGTCAGACAGACGGTGATTTGCAGGTATACGGTCATGAAATATATTTCTTCCTCCTGTCATAGCAGTTTATCTTGTTTATCCATCCTGTTCTACTGAGTGTGTAAGACAAGAAACCGTGTGACAGTGTGAGAACGGGACGAGATGAAGCGCATACAGTGAACATGTCCGGCGCTCATCTACTGGTCTTAGCACAGTTCCACACTGACCAACGGCTTACAGATCATTCACACCACAAGCCTGAGAATGCCTCCATCGAGTGTGTCACATGAAACTTTAAAAGCTTAATGTGCACTCAAAAAATAGTTAGGCCTAAATTTAAAATGTATTTGAATTGCATATACAATTTCCGTCTATTTGGATTGCACAGTTTTAACATAACTAATAATTAGTTAATTAAATAGTCATATTTTCAAAAATTTGAATATATTTTCAAAATGCATGTTTAGATTCAGTTCATTGTGAAAACAATACAGTTTATTCAGTTAAAAAGTATGAATATGGTTCAAATGTGGAACAAGTGATATTTTAGGGAAGTTTATTCTGTCAAGGGATTGTTTGACAGAAAGTGTTTTGTTTGACGGGAAGTTTTTATCTCATAATTCAGATTTTTTTGCTCGCAATTCTGAAAACTGTGAGATATAAATTCAGAATTAATTGCGAGATTAAACTCAGAATTGTGAGAAAATTCAGAATTGCAAGATATAAACTCAGAATTGTGAGATATTAACTCAGAATTGCGATATAAGTCAGAATTGTGAGATATAAATTCAGAATTTTGAGATATTAACTCAGAATTGCGATATAAGTCCGAATTGCGAGATGTAAATTCAGAATTGCAAGAAATAAATTCAGAATTGCAAGATATAAACTCAGAATTGCGAGATATAAATTCAGAATTGGAAGATATAAATTCAGAATTGTGAGGGAAAAGTCAGAATTGCGAGATATAAACTTAGAATTGCGAGATATAAATTCAGAATTGCGAGATATAAATTCAGAATTTTGAGATATTAACACAGAATTGCGATATAAGTCCGAATTGCGAGATGTAAATTCAGAATGGCAAGAAATAAATTCAGAATTACGAGATATAAATTCAGAATTGCAAGATATAAATTCAGAATTGCAAGGTATAAACTCAGAATTTTGAGATATTAACTCAGAATTGCGATATAAGTCCGAATTGCGAGATATAAATTCAGAATGGCAAGAAATAAATTCAGAATTACGAGATATAAATTCAGAATTGCAAGATATTAAGTCAGAATTGCAAGATATAAACTAAGAATTTTGAGATATTAACTCAAAATTGTGATATATAAAGAAATCATTGATGTATGATAAACCCTACATATTTGTCAAATGATTTTAAGATACTGGAAAAGACAATGCCTAATTTAAGACGAGCAGAATCTGAAACCTCGAGCCACTTTGGTGGAAACACATTTTATCTGCACTTTCATTTAGAGCGAGTGTGTAAGTCCCTACTAGGATCCAATTAACGGTTCAGATGCTAATAAAAGCGATCCTCGAGACCTTCACTAAATCCAAACCTACGGCCACATGACAGACTAGGCTGTATATCATATGCCACAAAACCTAAACACATTTTGAAGAAGATCTAGGATCGTTGACCTGCTCGTCCCTTTCACACTCCACAGTAAGATATAAATATCTCCTGATGACCTTTGCCATTTCTATTTTCACCTCACCATCCGGTCTGTAAATCAGTTTATTGGACAACTTTATTCATCGTGGATTGAGTAAAAAGCAGGGCAAAAACAAGAGAAGTCAGCCGTTCGGAGAGATATTACTGTACTGCAGGAAAAATAGCAATAGTAAATCACATCATCTTTTCCCGTGGCAAATCAATCCCTCGGACTGTTTCATTTCTCAGTTTAACCTTTGCTACCTCTCCCCACCGTTTGAATGAACGGCAGTAAATCCGATCAGCAGCCTGTCAGGAGCGTTCATTTACACACTGTCGCTCTTATAAGGGTTCTTCCAGATGCTGTTGTCCGATATGGTAATGCCACAGAAGCCCTGGGGAGAGACGAGCTCTAAAAATACCAGCATATGCTGATAATGGCCACTTCAGTTTCACAGACTTTACTAGTGTGAAAGAACACTCTGGAGAGCTGGTTTAATAGTGTTTGCCACCATGCAAAGTTAGAAGAACCTCAAGCTTCTATTTAAAGCTGCACTTATAGTTTTCTAATTAAATAAAGTTGTAGACATAAAGACATGAATAGCGTTTTTAAAATGTTTTTCACATGAGATCATAATGAGCTTATTTAAAGCTGATTTATTTGAAATGGACCAAACATATTGAGATCTTATCTCCTGTTATTGGACACTTTTGCTCATGAAATAAATTATGATTATAGATTATGATCAATGTTGAAAACAGTTGTGCTGCACAATATTTTTGGGTAAACTGTGATACATTTTATTTTTCAGAATTCTTTGATGAATAGAAAGTTCAAAAGAACAGCATTTATTTTATAATCATTTTGACATTATCAGTTTTGATCAATTTAATGCATCCTTGCCAAATAAAAGTATACATTTCTTTTAAAAAATAAAACTTTTACTGACTTTTCAGCGGTATATATATATATATATATATATATGTATGAAACCATTCAAGATTTTCAATGCAGTCTCTGGCAAAAACGCTCTGGGTTGCTAATTTACAAATAAAGAAAATGCACAGAAAAACATGCACGTAATGCATGCTTGAAACATCTGCCAACAGCCTATGGCTGAGATACTGTATCAATCCAGTTATTTATTATGACCCTGCAGCTGCCAGAACATTATATTACCAACAACAATCTGCCTTACAGGTCAAAAGTCCGTGACATAAAGAACCACCTCATAAGCACTTTGTACTAAAGATTATTTATGTCACAAACAGCACTGAATGAGTGCAAATAAAACAATGCAACATATACTGTAATAAAATGCAACTATGTAATAGCTATGATAGCAAAATCAATAGGATTACAAACTTTTAAAAGGACGGAGCATGTCTAATCAGTCCTATTTTTGCCATAAATTGCTTAATTAGAAGCTAGTCTCAATATTAATCAATTAAATTAGTAATTACATTCCCCTGGAGTGACCCGGGATCAAGTGCTTTGCTCAGGGGCACAATGCTGACAGACTTGTCAGACCTTTAGCCACTACACCGCATCAGTCATTTACGTGCACAAATATAGACAGTCGCCTCGGCACGGGTCTCATTACGTGCTGCATTATCGGCCACCCAGATTCACTGATTTGGTAAAGTGTGACCGGGTGCTTTATAACATAATCTGCATTATATCTGAATTGCCTGAGTGATAGATGGAGGTTTAGCAGCTCTGTCGGGAGCCGCCGGTTGTATACGTGTGTGTGTGTGTGTGTGTGTGTGTGTGTGTGTGTGT